TGAGGGGCCTGCAGGGCCTGGCGGGAGGGGGGCCCCCACGGAGCTGGGAACGGCCGACCCCTGGGGCTTTGTGACGTGCGCGCCGGGAGAAGGTTCTCAGAGTCAGGCCCGCGGCTTTGGCTGACGTGTCCTGTGAAGGTGGGGGTTGAGGAGGCCAGGGTTTTGTTTTGAAAAATATTTTCTTTTCCTCGCCCAAGGATATTTTCCCACAGGTTTTTAGAGAGAGTGGAAGGGGGGAGGAGAGACGGAGAGAAACATCGATGTGAGAGAGACACATGGATTGGATGCCTCCTGCATGCGCCCCGACCTGTGACCTCGGTTGCAGGGATCGAGTACGTGCCCTTGACCGGCATCGAACCCGGAACCCTTCCATCTGAGGGAGCTTGTCTGTCCCCCCAGGGCCCCTCTACGTCATCGTGGAATACGCCGCCAAGGGCAACCTCCGGGAGTACCTCCGGGCGCGGCGGCCGCCCGGGATGGAGTACTCCTACGACATCAACCACGTGCCCGAGGAGCAGATGACCTTCAAGGACCTGGTGTCCTGCACCTACCAGCTGGCCCGGGGCATGGAGTACCTGGCGTCCCAGAAGGTGGGTGCGGCCGCGTGCTCCCGGGCGGGAGGGGGCGGGTTCCGCTGGACGGGAAGCCGGCGCTGGGCCCGCCTTTGCTGCCAGGCCCTGGCCTGTCTCGTGCGACCGGGGAGTCCTGGGGGCGTCCGTCGCATTGGGGTCAACAGCCCGCGCAGCCCCTAATGTGACCTTTGGGGACAGGTGAGATGAGCGGAGGGCCGCCTGCCCTGAGCCCGGGGGCGTGGCTATCCCAGAGGCGGTGGCCAGGGCTGGGAGCGGACACGCTGCCTTTAGCGCTGATGGTGGGGCCTGTTTGTTTCAGGGTCGGTGGGGGTTTGGACGTGGGCTTTCAGTGTCGTGTTTACGGTTTAGAGGCTGGAAATGGAGATCATGGGGGTGCTGAGTCAGAGTCCTGGGTGTCCTCGGGGTTTATTTGTCGGACTGACTAGCAAGAGGGCCCCCCCCCCCCCCGGGGGGAGCAGGCAGGTCCCCCGGGAGCCCTGCATTCCAGGAATGCCGCCTGCAGTGGAACTCGAAGCATCTGAGTTATTCCGGGAGCAGCTAGCCAGGTGCCCAGGTGTCCTGGGGCCATTGAGCCCACACCTGGGGCGGGGGAGGGGGGGCTGCACGGTGACCTCCTGGGGCTCAGGTGAGTCTGACCTCCCTGCCTGGAGCCTGGGGCCAACTGGGGACTCGCCCGGCCCCCAAGGAAGAGAGGTCTTTGGCGGGCGTGGCCCTGCCAGTCCCACCGAGCAAGGCAGCCCTGGTCGGGTCACCGGCTGGGGGGTGGGGGGGGCTGGATTGGCTCTCGCAGAGAAGAGGGTGGAGGTCAGAGGCTGGAGGTCATGTCCTGGTGTTTCTGCTCCGAGCCCTGATGTGTGGCCAGAGCCCAGTGCGTGGGGCGCGGGTCCCACTGACCAAACGCCGGCCAAACGCTCCGAGCTGGTGTCGGCGGGAGCTCTCCACCTGGGGAGCTGGGCCCAGGCCTTGGGGTTCACTGTGAAGAGGCCTCCTAACCCTGGGCCGGCACAGGCGCCTGGGGCTCCCTGCTCTCCCTGGTCTGAGCTCAGCCCCATCCAGGGTCCACGGAAGCAAGAGAATGGGGTGCGGGGGGGACAGAAGGGAATTTCTGATTCATTCCTCCCAGAGAGTGTGGCTGCTGCTTTCTTATCGGCCGTTTGGTCGCAGCCGTTGGGAGGGCGGCGGGACAGGTCGGACGTTGGAGGAGTGACCAGGAGGCGGAGGCCCGTGATGCCGGCGCTCGGCCAGCGCCTCT